TAAAGAACGAGGATACCGGGACGATTACAGGAGTTGGGAATAAAGCCACAATGAGACAAAGGAAAAGTCTGACAAAAAGAGGGGTCTAGTCGCTAGCTGTTTCCTTCGCTGAACCGATTTCAAAGACTCGCGATGCTCTCTTAGTACCACTTCACGGAAAGTAGCGCTGTATTGGTGTGAAAAAAGAACAGTTTTAGGAAAAGCTCAACCTTGAACATCGTTGACCAGCCTGGTAAGAAGTGCGTAGCCGAATATGAGGGCGAGACCAATCCAGATTTTGTTTCGACGAGCCCAGCTCTGACCTGCTTCTCGTGCGACCTGGCCACCTTCCATTACCGCGCCGAGTCCAGGCGCGCTGGCGTTTGGACGCCTGCGGAGTGCGCTTGTCTCTGGAGAGCACTTTGTGACTGACGAGTTAGGGTCGGGTATCAGTTGCCCAGTGTTCGTATCAATGCGGTTTTCTCTCATCCATTTCCAATTCTCCTGATCTAGCTCCGGCCATTCGCTGCGGAACTTGAAGCCGCCATCTCCAGCCTTCACGTTGTTGATTCCCCTCGCTGTGGGTGTCACTCCCGGGGTTGCGCTGATGTGAGAACCTCCACCTGTAGAGTTCCACCACCTTGAGCGCGCAGCCAACACTCTCCGTTCCGCCTCCGAGGCACTGACACTACCGGTTGTCATTTCTTCACTAGTCATGAAGGATAGCAGCCCGATCAAAATGGTGGAAACTTCCCAGGCTGGATTAAAGGACTTGGGATGAAAGTCACTGATACTAAGGCACAGGCGAGACGAAGGTTGAAACCGGCCACTTGGAGTGTGCATACGGATTGCCGGGGGCGCAAACGGGTACTCGGGAGGAAACATCAATGTGCCCCAGTATTGACCATTCTCGTAAGGTGTTCCGGGAGGACCAGTGAGAATATAATGCCATCTAGTCTCTTTTTAGCCACCTTCTTTTCACATATTAAGCAATGTATATGATGGAAACACGGAAGACTTACTCGAGAATGTTAGACTCCGATGGATGCGCCACAATGTATGGCGGAGGATTCTTTTGAATGTTTTGATACTCGCGGGTGAGCTGGAAATTGTCAGATCACATTCAAAGGTACAATACTGTGTTGTAGATGAACGAACTCGCTTGTACGCTGCTTTCGTCGCCATCTTTGAGTGATTAATGCAACGGTCTCCGTCACTTTCGGGGCTTGATCAAATGGAGGGAGGGGTCCGGCTCCAGATACAACAACGCCAAATAGAGCAAAGTGAGCTGAGGGTATTAAAATTAAAGACCAACAAAATCAAATGATATGAAAGAGAGAATAGGAAGGATAGAATAGCCTCTGTTGCCTGTGCGGTGAATTCTGCGGAGTGTCGCTGATGTATGCGCTTGCAGTCCGAGGGGCGGTTATCAGTCACGTGAGGGTTATGGCTTCATTCTCGCGGCCGCGAGCATCTCGAAGACAACCGAAAAAGGACTGTACGAGGTCTCTTTGGCCATTGCAGCCGCAGCAATGTCCTCACCACTCTCAGCTGAAGATGAAGACGTATGTGAAATCATCGAAAACGTTCAAGCCCGTCTGTATAAGAGTATCAACTGACGCTCGCGTGTCATTTCATCATGTAGATCTTCGAGCGTCTTCAACAGCGAGCCGACCCGAAAGTACTTGAAGAGCAGCAGCAGGCCATCAACGAACGAGTCCATGCTATCTACCAAAAGGCGCAGATGCGTCTTGGTGAGCTGGTATGCCCTCAATTTCCTCTTGTTTTATGCGATTCAATCTGCAATGAACGCCGGCCCAATACCTGGTTTACTGACCAACCTCTACATAATACCAGATCGACCAGAACTCAACTCTTCCATGCGCCATATCGTCGGTCCAAGTGCTTAATGCGACTCATACACGCAGAAGGTTCCTGCAATCTATATTCGACCCACTTTTAAGCGTCAATCAATCACGGCCCTATTCTCTCTCTGAGGCATTGCGGGAGATCTCATCTCGTGCCGACAAGCTCGCGAAATTTGGTTTGTCTCTTTGACATGAAATAGTCTATTGGGCAATTTCTGATATGCTCACAGACATCTTCCAGCAACCGATTTCAGTGTATATCGACCAGTCACCAGATGCGAACCCGCAAAATGGAATACCCAACATCGATGTCTTTTTCTCTGTTAAGGAAAAGTCCCGTGTACTGCTGAAGACGGGGACCGATCTTGGAAACACTGAAGGCTCGGCATATGGAAATCTCCTCTGGCGCAATGTTTTTGGTGGTGCAGAGACTCTCAACCTAAATGCTTCTATGGGCACTAGGACGAGGTCTGCCTATCAAGCTGCTTTCGAAACCCCCGTTCTTAGCAATCCGGATTTCCGCTTCGAACTTGGTGGTATTGCGAGTTCGACGCAAAAGTCATGGGCGAGTCATGAAGAAGTACTGAAGGGTGGCTGGAGCAAGCTCCGCTGGCTCAGCCAATCCGGTCATCGCCATGAGATCGGATACAATGGTTTCTGGAGGCAGATTACTGGACTGGCTGAGAACGCCTCGCCCACGGTCCGGGCTGATGCAGGGGACAGTGTAAAGAGCAGTATTTTCCACAGCTGGATCGCCGATCGAAGAGATAACCCTCTCCTTCCATCCCGTGGCTACTACGCGAAGGCCTTCAACGAATTGGCCGGATGGGGACCCCTGAAGGGAGATGTCTCTTTTTGGAAATCGGAGGTCGAAGCCCAGGGAGCAATCCCCATTCCAATCCCCGGAATTCAAGGTGACAGCGGTATCAGCTTCACAACTGGTTTCCGTGCGGGTTTTCTGTATCCTTTGGGGCTGGACTCTGATTCCCGACCTCAGCTATCTCGCATCAATGACCGCTTCCTGCTCGGAGGCCCGACGGATGTCCGCGGCTTCCGCCTCTGTGGACTTGGTCCTCACGATGGAGTGGATGCTGTAGGTGGCGATGTGTATGCTGCGGGAAGTGCGAATCTACTCCTCCCACTTCCTCGAGTCGGTGCGGACAAGCCACTGCGGCTGCAGGCGTTTGTGAACGGTGGCCGCCTGCTACCCCTGCGCACTTTGCAGAAGGAGGCTCCCACAAACAGCGCAGAAGTGAAGGATGCCATGGCTGCTACGATTTCAGAGCTAGGAAATGGACTGCCTAGTGTTGCGGCAGGCATTGGGCTCGTGTACGCCCACCCTGTTGCGCGATTTGAGCTGAACTTCTCGCTCCCACTGGTGTTGCGGAAGGGTGAGGAGGGCAGAAAGGGATTGCAGCTCGGAATCGGTATCAATTTCCTGTAGAAAATATGTACTATGCATCAATTCGAATAGAATTTTACAGCGTTCAGATCTGATCTAGTACTTCGTATGGGGAAGCTGGGGGGCTGCCTGACTAAGCACATAGTGGAGGCAAGGGAGCTATTGAACACAGCCGACAGCTGTACTGTACGAACCGCAACTTTCGCTCCAGATCGATTTGTGGAATTCTTTAAACGAATTGTCTATCTACTCCGCAAACACTATCGCACTCAATAGACCTCAGAGTCTCCGAATCTACCTGTGCTGATCAAGCGCTTGATCGTCCTTGCAGTCCACTCTACATATTGGCCGCGATGGCCCAATACTATCCACAGCAACAGCCCTACGGGTCGCAGGCGTCCCCGCAGAATCTCCAGTTTTATCCTTCATCATACACCTCAGTTTCAGGCCACACGACACCATCGCAAGCTTATGGCGGTTTTGGCGGGCCCTCGGGCTCCACTGCTCAGGCATATCCCGTTGGAGGGGTCGGGAGCGGATACGGTGGCTTTGGGTCCCCTGCCGCTGGAGTGAGTGGGAGAATGGGTGAACAAGGCGGATTAAGGACGGGATGGCTGGCTGCATTTGGCACGGAGGGCTATGAAGGGGAGCCGCCGCTGTTGGAGGAGCTGGGTGTGAATTTTGAGCATATCAGGACCAAGGTGGGTAATGGACTGTCCAGTGGTTTGATATCTGGCTGCGCAAAGAATGGAGACGTTGTGTTCGTATTTAGACAGAGAGAGGCTGACCTTTTCGGACCGCTCGCAGACACTGACAGTGCTCAATCCCTTTGCTCGGATTGATCAGCATCTCATGGACGACAGCGATCTGTACGGAGCTCTCCTCTACATCGTGCTCTACGGGACATTCCTCCTTCTCTCCGGCAAGGTCTTCTACGGCTACATCTACGGTGTTGCCGTCTTCGGTACCGTCGCCCTGCATCTGATTCTCAGTCTCATGTCGCCCGCTCTCGATACTGCGTCTGCGCCCAATGCCGCAGACCCGTCCAACTACGACCCCCATCACAAGCCTACCATGTCCGACGCCTCTTCCGTGGGTCATTTCTCTGCCACCCTGACGTTTCCCCGGTCAGCCAGCGTTCTCGGTTACTGCTTCCTGCCGTTGGTTTTGACCAGTCTTGTGGGGATTCTGATCCCGATGGATACTTTGTTCGGGTACTTGTTAACGACGGCCGCGGTCGGCTGGTGCACGTATAGTTCCTCGGGGATGTTCTGCGCCGTAGCCCGGATGCGTGGTATGAGAGGCTTGGTGGCGTACCCGCTTGCACTGTTCTATGTCGTCTTCGGCATCATGGGGATCTTCTCGTCCCGCGGCAGTGGTACTCTGGCCGCTAAAACGGGGGCCGCTTGAGAGCGAAGCCCATCCCTGTTCGTTACAAGGTTGGTTGTACTTCTTAGCCGGCCACTCGGGACTCATGTCTGCATGATCTGGTTTTTAGCCTCGTGTATCCTCTCACTGTCGAAATTCTTGTCCTGTGGGGATGAAGAAGCTCCATACTTATGATAAATATCCTTTAGCCGATCCATAAATGAACTTACATATTTCCTTCATAGAAGCAATGCCATGAATTAATAGAGGAGATCGGTAGACAAAGGTTTCAGGCAGAATGATCACATCATCAAAGCGTTCATCACTTAGGTTCTATATCCATATGAGACCCTAGATCGCAGGTCTATGCACATACAGTCAAATCATCTAATAGAACGTTTGTCCTCATCTTTAGCAGGCGCCCAATTTGTCAGCCACTCTCGTGCTTTGTCAATATCCCCAGCGGCGGCTTCGACAGCAGCAACACACCATGGCAGATCATATGCCTTCCCTCCGGTCATAGCTCCTTCGGCGGCAATCATCTCCGCCAGAATTCGTCGCTGCTGGCCGACTTGATCGGTGCAAAGGAAGAAAGGTGCAGTGTTCGGCGCGTCCCTCCGGAGATTGATAGCGTCTATCAGGGGTCGCACCAAGGTCAAGATATCCGCGGTGCTCATCGACGTCGACCCGCCATCGCCGATGTTGGATGATAGCCTGTGTTGCTTTCCTGTCTTGCAGTACTCGTTCTGACACCAGGGCTTACCGCATCCTGACATCAGCTGGGAGAGATATCGGCGCTCGATGCGGCGACGAAGCGATTTTCCTTCGGGATCGTATGTATCTACGTAAAGAGGTCCGAAGCAGATACTGCAGAGGCCTAGCGTGTCGGTTCCTGGGGTGATTGTGCTCTGCACTACGCGTGCATCGAGCGTTCTGCCACAGTTCTGGTTCAAACAAATACGGGGCGTTGGTCGAGAGAGACGCTCGAGATCATGGTGGCGCAGGTGTGTCTTCATATCCCGGAGTCGAATGATTTTGTTGCAGAGATGGCATTCTGTCGTCCGGCCGCCGTCAACCAACTCATGCGGAGTGAGACCGGACAACAACACCTCAGGGTCGAGCATGTCAGGGTCTGTCTCCCCTCTCTGCGGTACTACCAGATGACAGAATTGACATAGAATTGGCTTCTCTGGACATACAGTCGTGCGATGTTGAGCGAGGCTCGGAAGGCTGTCGGCTTCGAATCCACAGCCAGGACATGAGCGCCTGGTATGGAAGATACTGTCATGCCTATGTTTGCTAGAAAGATCATTACCGTGGGACGAATCCTGAGGGCAGTGCCAATGATTTTCCCATTCTGAAGAGCGCTTCTGGAAGACATTGCCGCACTGAGGACAAAGCACATTGTTGCGCAAACAAAAGTTCTCGTGAAGAACAAGCGTCCTCTGAGGCACCCACTGATGACAGTTCTTACACTGCACATCGCCGGGCTCATGAGTATCTGGCCGGTCTCCCGTCCGTTGCACCTCTTCAACGGTTGAAGAGCTTTGCACGACCCGGATGCTATAACGAAGTGGTAAGGTCTGGATTGACGCCATCCCGTCACCAGCCTCGGTTTGAGCATAGCCATGTACCGAAAGATACAACGCCTCGGCCCCGTCTAGTTCAACATTTGTTGGCCGGATATGAAGCTTTTTTGACGGTTGGCTTGAGAAGTCGGCAAAAACGTGCTCGTCCAACCGGGGTCGATTCCGCTGACGCGAGGAGAACGGACTTGCGAACAAATACACAACTGCGTCATCTATTCCTTCAAGTTCAATTTCGATCATCTCCTCACGATCCCATTTGCTGAGTTCGTAGTCCACGTATTCGCCCGGGATCACCTGTCCAGTGACTGTCTCTCCCAGGGCGAGAACCCCGCCTATTGAGCTGCCCCCTTTGGTGCCAGGAGCACGAGAAGCTTTCTCTAACCGCCTTTGCAATGTCTCTCTTGCCTGGTCTTCAGTTAACGCCACAATATCAACTTCCAAATCTGTATCCACGATGCAAATGCCGTCGCCTTCGGGTTCCACCTTGTCGACGAGAAATCTAAACAGTTCGTTCCGATTCCCAGACACCGAAAGGAGTTCCCCGGTAGTCAAAGTAGTGAAATTGTCACGTAAATATCGCTCCAGCAAAGCTTTCCAGTCCTCTGGGTCGTATCCAGCTTCGAGAGGGCGTAGGCGAACATAGGTGCCTTTTGGCAACTGCTTGGCATGGACTGTAACTGTGGGGGCTGAGTGGCTGATCGAGCGAACAGATTCTGATCTTCCTCCATTGTTTAAATCCGCAGAAGGCGCCGTCTCTGTCACATGTTCACCGGTTTGTAATTGAAACAGCTGATCCTCGATGTCAAGAGCCCGTCGCAGAAAAGCGCTGAGACCCACTTCTTCCTCTTCAGCTGAGAACTCCCGTATCCCTGCATATATTGCACGATCATTTTTGGGGTTCACGAGTCGGAAAGTCAGTGGATGAGGTAACTGCTTTTGGCGGTCTAGATGCTGCGCTCGAGCTCGCGATTCGGCGGCGAATGTGTGAGGATTGAATGGATCAAATGTACTGGTGTATTGGCGCGAGGAACCCTGAGACGACACGTCGCTCAACGGAGCAGCAGCCAGAAGCTGCTCGAGGGCCGATTGTGGCAGAGTAATCTTATCTCCAGGTAACTTAGGTGTGCGCTGTGGTGGAGCAACCAAGAACTTGGATGACCATTGTAATGAATCTTGCTCCCGAGCCATGATTTAGACACGGGATGTTATCGAAAATGGGGCGACAAAGAAGGAATCTGCTCTGAGACATCTTATGTCCCATCAGTGCGCATGCAGTTGAAATCCATCGCCGCCATCGAACAGTTGCGGTCGTTCTGGAAGATGCTCCGCTTATCAATAACAATGCACCTCGGGGGGAAATTTTGCCCCTCCGTATTGATTACGACATCATGTTGGTTGCCTACAAGAAATATACTCAACTCACGGAAGAGTGGACTGTCTCGTCTTGAATTGCGAAGAAAAGAGGGAAATGCCCAGAATTGTGAGAAACAAGAAAGAGAGGGGGAGAGTGGGGGCTGGGGTTTCAAAAGAACTATTCAACGCAGCTCGATTCGCATGGGAAGCACGCTTCGCCCAAAGAAAACCCTGAAACGAGAGGAAAGGGGCTATTCAAAGTATTCAAGAGGGATATCTAGTGACTGATGGAGTTGAAGCCGGCTAACCTCAGTCCGCTGTAAATTCAATTCAAAAAAAAAATTCGCCCGCAACATTCATATCATGGTCATAACCAGTCGTCACAGTGTTCATGTTAGAATGCCAATAGGGGCCTCGCAAAGCTACCTCAACATCCGCGGATATCTCTCGAAAACGTGCTAATAAAGTTGCCTAAGCCGATGGCGCGAACTGGTGTTGCACCAGTCACACTGGCACCATTCCAATTAACTTTGCCTTACAGGTTGTCGTTGGGAATCAACTGCAACACTTACCATTGTCGAAGAGCAGCCCTCGTTGTGCTCAATGCAGTATAGTCCTTGGCAGTGCTGGCACGTTCGTTGGCAATCAAGTTTGCATGCGGCGCACTGAAGATACCGTCAGTTGAAAGCTTCGAGATTTTCGGTTTCCCCTTTTTCCACCGCCCCCTTGTTCCGCTCGCTCATGAGAAATCCTTACAGTAGGGCCACATTCCCAGCAATCCTTGCTCACTCCACGTTCCAGTCTCTAGGATCCTTAGTCAGTGAACTGCCGTATCGCCTCGGCTCTGAACATGCGCATATTCAAGCTTGCGTACCTGAGATGGGTCATTGCTGCTGAGAGAACCTCTCATTGCAGTCTGATGCGGCGAAAGATTAGAGCTCACCCGTTGTGGATGCGGTAGGCAGTCGGCGCAAAACCATTTGTTACAACGGTGGCACCAGCGATCGGTAAGGCAATCTACGCAGCGGGCAATCAGGGCAGGATGTTCCGCGCCTGGAAAAAGCGAAGGGCGCTTCGCCGCCACAATAGAGGATGTGTGAAAAGGGGGCGGAGTGAGCAGAGGAAAAGTCTCCTCTGGGCACTGTCCCCAGATCGCTGGACCCTCGGGAGAGCTGTGACAACCGTCACATCCGCGAGAACCGAGGGCAACAGTAGCAATCGCTGGACCGAGCAAGTGGCCTTCATGCGGAGACCCATTCTGGCTAACCAACATAGCACTGGGGTCGTGTCTTGGCCCACGGCACAGCACGGCGTCAAAAGCGATGATGCCATGGCATCTCTGAATTGTCTGTGCCCAGCCTTCCTCGATGCTAGCGGTCAGTAACCTGCCGGACGGCGAGTACCAGGCGTTCTGCCGGTAAATCTCACCCGACTGCTCATGTTGACGCGATGGCTGTCTCGCTTCCACCGGCGTTTGACTGGCACACCTTGAGCTCCACCAGTTGCGGTACCTGCTTCGTGCTGCAGCTTGTGCCAGATTCGGTGGCGTGAAAAAATAGATCCCTTTCACCCGGGGGGTGCCGGCAGGGCGAGTCGGACGCACGGCATATTGAAGGACTTGCATAAGTTTACGTTCATTCAAATGTTGACACCCTCTGATAGACAGGATGTTCACATTGTAGCGGTCACTCAGCACAATGTCTGCTATCAGGTCCGCCGGAACCGGTAACCCGTCCAAGATCAACGTGCGCACGTCCTGTAAAAGCGACTTGTGCTCGAGTTTTGCGAAAATCTTCTTTAAGGGGGCCGAGTAGAACTCGTCCTCGGTAAGGGACTCGTCCATAAGTTCATTGCCCAAGGCCTGAGCCCTATCGGCAAGGGTCGAATTCCTCTGCAGCTGCGCCCCACGACAACGACTGAGATCAAGATGTCGAAAGACGTAAGGTGTCTCCAAAATCATGGATCGAAGGGTGCGACACGTTGATGCCAATGAGAACAAGCCCGAAACCGACAGATAAGGAGCCATATGATCGAGGATCAAGCTATTGGACAGCACATCGGTGAGAGATGCTGGCTTCGACTGAATCACGGTCACAGAGCACTGATTCTCCTCCCGGGGGACCTCTTCTTCCTCGGACGCTACCTGCACCTCCCGAACGACTGGGACAAGGCCTAGTTCCTTCGGGGTCAATCGTCGAGTTCCGTAGTAGAAGTCCGGGGCACGCCCAATGAGATTTTGACGATAGGCGGCGATGGCACCAATGGCGAGCTCATCTCCAGCAGTGAACCTGGGAGCAGCATTGGGCTGGATTTCCTTGAGAGCGGCCCTGGCTTTGGCCAGCTCATTTTCGAGTAGGTTGATAGTTGATTGTAGGACAGCCGGCATGGCTTTGATGTTAACTGGATCGATGGCGGTGACTAATGAATACCATAGTTCGCCTTCGGCCATCATACACGATTGAACCGGGGTCGGCCAAAGTTGCACGCAAATAGATGCGATGTGTTAGAGCAGAGCAGTTAGGAACTTAGCGACATCGATCAGTTGAAAGGAAGACGAAATGAAAAGGAGGCGAGGAGTGGCGACTCTAAAAAAATGACAAAGGTTCAATGATACGTGTGCTTGAATGCTGTATATGTATATTAATATTAAGTATAGCCGGATAAATTGGCCACCAGATTGATGTGATAATTAATGATGGTAACATAATACAAATGACAAGATAGCGGTAGTACTGTCAGTACTAGCGTGGGACCATGACTGATGTAGATCATGTAGTAAGAAAATAAGTCGTTCCATTCTGAAGGAAGGGGAAAGAAAAGATGGGGGGGTTGCGAAATCGAATGAGAATCGACAGTGACTGCAGCCACTTTCGAAAAGATGATACCGGTGAACAATAAAGGCAGCAGCTGGTTGGGGGATGACGGACGGATGGATGAATCAAGGCTTACCTTAACTCCCTCAATCATCAACTACCTTAGATACCTAGGTACCTTAATTGTATGGTCCGGAGTAGCAAGATACGGAAGGACTAAAAGAGCAAGTCCGGGGGAATCCACCATATAACAAGCGAGCTTGTTCTTCTAGAAGGCTGGGTGGAAGACTCGACGGAGTGGACAGACAAGTAAAGAACGAACTGTGTTTACTAGAGGAGAGACGGAAGAAGATCTTTATATGCTTCGGTATTTAAGAGAGATCCTATCATTTAAGGCACGGAGGTAGAGATATTGGATTTCGATTATTGATTGCATTATGTTGTACAGAAGAAACAGAGATAGGAGCCACATCACTTTTCGGGATAAAATTTGTAGATGAGCCAAGAATGATTGTCAGTTATTTTCACATTTTTCCTCTAATAATATTATGATTTCTGATAATTACTGTGCCAATAATAGTCAGTACCTAGGTGCCTAAAAACAGTAAATGAAAAGAAGTTCCATTAAAACGAAAAGGGTGAGCCCACTGCGGAGAATGGGGAGAGTCTTAAGTTGCGGAGGAACCTCATCAGCAGAGAGGGACTAAACCAGGGACTAGGGAGACACAGTCCGCTCTATCCCTGTCGGAGTACCTGACGGCGAGAGTGCAAGACTCTTAGAACAGGTATTAGAGAAGTTGCAGATGATCTGGCAACCTATCAGGAAACAAAGGAAAGCAAGCTATCATTTGTTGGGAGCATTCAGAGAAGGGCGCGGACTTCGTTGATCCTGGCCAAATGTGGATAAACTCCAGAATCAGAATGGACTGATAATTGATCTCTATGACTTGGCCAAACCGGCGGGACAAGCAGCGCAAGGGGAGGCACAGCTCAGCCGCACGAGGAGACCTAAGATTGGACGGACTGGAGGACAAGGGTGGAATACGGAACTCATATAGGTAATCATGTACGTAGGTATCCATTGTACTCGGAGTACTGTTGGTCTTGGAGGGGGCCGAATCGCCCGAGACGAAGGATGCCATACAAAGAAGACACCTATGTGAGTTTCAAGGATGGAGGAAACCGTCAACCAGAAGGGCAGGCTTCAGCCTTTACTGTAAATAAGTGATTGGTGTCTTTGTGCTCTTCTTACCTTTGTTATTACCTATTATGATGACCTGATTCCTAGGTATCTAAAATTGTAGTTTGTTTGCGGTCTGTAAGGTAATCTTACTCCAATAATAATAATAATGCTTCGGCACAGGTCATCAGATCTGGAGTGCCCCACCAAAGCCGAGACCCTTCAGAAAGAGGACCCACTCCTGGTCACGCGTATGCCACAAACGCTCCCTCAGGCAAGATGTCTGTTTGAACGACGCATCAACTTGCACCTGCCTTCGCTTGTTGTATAGACACTTTATCCCATATTGGAAGAAGGATCTTGATTTAACAGCGAACTCTTAGTATGAAAAGCACTTTTGCAACTTCATTGTTGGTTATCTATGCTTCAAATCCATGGATAGGGGAGGCTACCTTCATCATGATGCCAATCTCTTGCTGTACTATTCAAGTAATTACCTGTAGCTTCGTAAAGAGGTAGAGCCTAGAGAGGCGCTCACTCTGGAAACAGAATGATCGCCGAGGAAGCGAAGATCCTTGCAGATCATCTACCTACTCACAGAGTCGCAATAGAGTACGTACGGTAGATAGTCTACACATCTATCCCCTATTTCTATGGACCGGCTAGATCCATCAAGTTATTGTCGATAGAGATAAGACCATAGCTATGATAACGATAGCGGTAGGCTAGGCAGTGTTTACTACCTTACTTGGACCACATACCAACATCCTTTCCTCATCCTCCTTGATAGTCTTGGCTGCTTCGCTTGGCAGAGCCTGAGTAGGGTCATAACTTCATCCATATTTGTCAAGTCTGTCGAGTCACTAATGGGTCGTCAATAGTCTCTCATTAGTGGCATCTGGGCATTCCTGATACTCGAAGATTAAGACATCCATCACCCAGGAAAATATATTGGGAGTCTATCTAGGACTGGCGAGTGAGTATCTAGTTGCTTCAATCTCGCATAGGCTGTGGGATGGATTTTTGTAGACTGTATAGTATGTTCGGTCGATCTATTTAAGAATGCGCAAGGTATGGCGGAATATGGACTGTCTTTCTAGCCAAGATCTACCGTGCGACCTACCACTATCTACGACGTGTCGATGTAGGAATGTTACAAATCGACCTCAACCCTTTTTTGCCCGGGTGCTACGTCGAGAATGGGACAGCAGGGAGCATGAGAGCCCAACGCCCGCCGGCCAGATGTTTGATCCACGTCATCTACAGGCTACGTACACCATGGGATCGCAGACTTGGGGTAATGTTATGCAGGCCAATCGCCCCTTTGTCTGGGCAGTTGGCCATCTCCATCATGCAAAGCCAAAGTCATCATAAAGCAGCAAATGCCATGTATTCGCTGGAGGGCGTAAAGTAATGGTGTGGATCATGCTGAAAGTAGAACTATTGTTACATGTCGTCCGTCGCCCGTCGCCCGTCCCCTGAGAGTTTCGCTTCAGCGGTTGAACCACCTCCGCTCCCCTCCCTTCCCCGAGAACTCTCGCGCGCTCTACTTGAATAGTTTGGAGACAGCAACCTCCTTGTCATCGTGTTTGTTGAGAATCTTGGCAGTGGCCAGGTCAAAATCTTCTTGTGTGACGTGGACTCGCCGTTCCCGAAGCGCGTACATGCCTGCCTCGGTGCACACACCCTTCAGTTCTGCTCCTGAGCATCCATTCATCTTCTCCGCAATCTTCGTCAAGTTGATGCCTCGCGTCAGGTTCATCGACCGTGAGTGAATGCGTAGAATATCGGCACGAGCTTCCACCCTATCACCGAAAAGAGATGAATTAGTAAATCACAAACATAAAAACTTCTCGTAGAGGAAAAGAGGTTAGATAAAAGACGGATTGAATCATACGATGGTGGAGGAAACTCGATCTTCCGGTCAATTCTTCCGGGCCGCAGCAAAGCGGGATCCAGGATATCAAGTCGATTTGTAGCCATGATGATTTTGATGTTTTTTGTGGGCTCAAACCCATCCAACTGATTGAGCAACTCCAACATTGTACGCTGCACTTCCGAATCGCCAGAGCCAGCCGAGTCTATGCGGCTGGAACCGATACTGTCAATCTCATCCATGAAGATAATGCTTGGTGCGTGTTCTCGAGCCATGACAAACAGCTCGCGAACCATGCGACTGCCCTCACCAATGTATTTCTGAACGAGTTCCGACCCGCTGACCCTGATGAATCGGCAATCTGTGTGATGGGCTACCGCTCGGGCGAGCAGTGTTTTACCAGTTCCGGGAGGCCCGTAAAGAAGAACACCTTTGGGCTGCGCAATACCAAGAGATTCGAACAGTTCCGGGTGCTTGAGACCAAGCTCAATGACTTCCTTGATCTCCTTAATTTGTTGATCAAGGCCTCCAATCATATCGTATGTGCTGTCAGGAACCTTCTCGACCATCATAAGCGAAACGAGCGGGTCGACAGATGATGGCAACATCTTCTCTAATTTATAAGAGTCGGAAAGCAACGCGACACGCTTGCCTACGGTAAGTTTCGTAATATCGACCCCGTCTGCAATGTCGACGACTACAGCATCACATTCAAAGTTAGCAATTCACCTATGTGACCTCGATCAACAGCCCGAGGCAAAGGTAGAGTCTGAAACGTACCATATTTTCCTTCTGGATGTACCTTGACAAGAACCTTCTTGGTGCTCATCACCTTCACGACCTCTCCCACATAAGAACCAGGTTGTTGAAGCAAGCCCAACTCCTCTCGTAGTAGACGAACTCGCGAATTATAGTCGTTGCGCTGTGCTTCTAGTCGACGTAAAACAGCCTGACCTTGGATAATCTCGAGCTTCATGCTCTCGATCTTATTGCGATAGTAGTTGTCCAGCGCCATGGCGGATGTCAGTCGATGACGCTCCTCTTGATCCACAAGCTGCTGACCACACAACGACCGATACTTTGGAGAATTAACCAATTCAAACGCAAAAGACACAAAGTATGCCAAAGATTAAGAGCCCGATGCGAGAGGATGGACAGGAATTAGAGGAGTTATGGATGGATGGGCGGAGAGAATTGTCCTGGAAGCAGCTAGCAAGTAGGAGAAGGTGAGCTGTACCTAGTGGTAGGCAGATACCTAGCTGATATCAGCAACAGGAGCACCAGCCACTCATCCGCAGCCACACTTCTGATGTGTAAATGTGGCGGTGTACAATATCGGGAAAAATAAGGTCCGTTGCACTGACTAGGTAATGCTGGACCGCAGATGATGCGGTCATTCATCCACCGAATGGCCCCGTCTTTCATGCCTGAGGACTAAAGGTGGATACCCAAGCTGTTAAAGACTTAAAGTACGTAACTGACAGGCTGACACCAACTAAGGAAGATCCAAACTCGAATCACAGGACCTATATAGAGCTGGAAAACATCCATATTCACACAAAGTACACCATCTTACAGGACCACTCAGTCAACTCATCCCTGTTCCCAGCTGACTGCGGCGGGGCTACGGTGAGATGATGCTATCTCCTGATCTCTTTAGTCTACTACCTCTCGTACTAGTACTAGTAGTGTTTTGCGTAGTAGGTCTTTTGGCCGCAATCCAGTATCTATCCATTATTCCACTTACAGGCTCCTACCTGTATTCTTCGACACAGCTTGTCAGGCATCTGCGAATGCCCACTGCTACACTACACAATGTGTTTTGGATCATCTCGAGAATCTGACTTCTTATTATTCTAAGTGCAGGCCACTTTTTGCGGTTTCTGATTTTGTTCTTTCGAGTCGCTTTACTTTTCCGCATTATCTTTGATCCCTAGTACTCCATCCCCAGCCTCCTGATAAAGTCCGATCGCAAGAATCGAATGGAAAGAGTCGGGCGCAGAGAGAAGCAATGGATAGCAGCCAGAGAGTCTCAGATATCTCTCGTTTCTCCCAAACTGAAGCGACGTCGCGTTTGAGCTCGACCGTAAGCACTGGATCTACATCGTCTGATACCATTCGTCCGACCAGACCTATGGCGAGCAGTCGGAGAAGCTACGGTGTGTTTGCCTTTCCTGTAACCTTAAGAGAATAAATCTGCTTATTATTCCTTGTCATTCCTTGTTCTAGGAACTATAAGTCCTTCCGATTTGACAGACTCCGAGGCATTGCCGAATGAAAGCCAGGCCGACAACTCCAGTCGCATACCTTCCTCCCAATCACCACCTGTGACAGGGTTGCCGTCCGATAGGCCGAGAAAGCCATCTGTGACGCGCCGGATATCTTCAAGGCGACAGGTCCCGCATAAGGGCCAGGAGTTTTCCACAGATGACGATGTCCAGGAGGTCGAGGAGGATATAGCCATGCAACAACAGGGCTCAAACCCTCAGCCTTCGCCGAGACTGCGCCCATTGAGGAAACAGAGCTCGACACTGAGGCGCAGGTTGAACGCTCGACCCAGTCCGTTGGCACGAGCGGACTCTGACGATGACAGCGGAGAGGAATCGTTATTACCGGAGTCCGGCATGGAGGCCATAGGAACGCGACCACCGTCGCAGCAGTCGGAAGCCAGCTCCCATCATGGGATCAATCACGGTGAAGGCGACGGCGGTGATACGAGTGATGCAGAGAGCTTCACCCTGAAAGATCGTCAACAGGCCATCAATGAAACGCACCCATTCGGTATCAGACTATGGAAGCCTGCTCTCTACAAGAAGAGTCGTTCTGTGGAAAAGACCGCTGAGGGTGATATTCATTCGTCTCCCGGCGGCCGAGTAGGAAACATACTCTTCTTGGCCAACCTGCTGTGGACGGCTTTCTTCGGGTGGTGGCTCGCTCTTGCTGCGCTCATCGGTGCCATCGCATGTTTTGTATTTGCATATTCTGCTAGCGCAGTGGAGTACGGGAAAGTATTCTCGGGTCTTTCGTGGTACCTCCTTTATCCATTCGGGTCTTTTGTTCGTCTGGAGACCGACGAACACTACGCAGAGGAAGATGAGGGCGAAGGCCGCAGCATCAGCGAGTATGAGCAATGGCAGAACGGTGATCTCGAGCACGGCAGGCTTTTCTTTGGCCCCCGTAGCAACCGATCTCTCGTGGGTAGGCGTCGCAATAGCATTGACTCTGTGAGCGAGCAAGACAGTCTGCTTGGCAGAACACAAAGAATCTCTCCTCGTGAAAGCAACCTGCATTCGAAGCGCCGCTTGTTCGGCCGCGGAGAATGGACATTAGGACGTGTCGTATTCTTCGTCTTCTTTTACTTTTTGATTGGACCTTTGATGCTATTTGTGTCCATGGTATGCTGGTTACTTGTATTCTGGATCCCCATGGGACGCGTGACTCTCATTTTATTTGACCATCTTCGTCGTCACCCGCTGGCCTTATCCTTTCATTCCGATACATCCTATACTCGCCTGAGTCCCGATTCCCCCTCATCGATTCTCCTATGCACTTATCGTGCGGCTGGGCTGAGCTACTGGAAGTATACGGTGGATGGTACCAATATCTTTCTCATCAATCTCCTTGGTGTCGTGCTGTTTGTCATCTTCGACTACTTCCTCTTGGCTGAAACGCTGGGTCTGCATAACTGGATGACACATCCTGGCTTCATCTTTACTCTCGCACTGGTCTCCATTATTCCTCTCGCCTACTTCATCGGGCAGGCCGTCGCGTCCATCTCTGCACAATCATCAATGGGAATGGGTGCCGCCGTCAACGCTTTCTTCTCGACTGTCGTTGAAGTCTACCTTTACTGTGTTGCCCTGACAGAAGGCAAAGGACAGCTCGTCGAGGGCAGTATCATTGGTAGCATTTTCGCCGGTATCCTGTTTCTTCCTGGGCTGTCCATGTGCTTCGGCGCTATCAAACGCAAGACACAGCGATTCAACGTCAAATCTGCCGGAGTTACGTCGACCATGTTGATGTTCGCCGTGATCGCTGCATTCGGTCCCACGCTGTTCTATCAGATATACGGCAGTGTATGTTCTCCAATTCTCTGATTGTCGGTTGCTGCTAATGACCGGTTTGTTTAGCACGAATTGAACTGCTACTCGTGCGCTGAGCCTACAGACTCGGGCATCAAAGACTGCCGCCGCTGTTACTTTGCCCAAGTTCCAGCTGTGGACGACAATTTCTTCCGAAAAGTAGTTCAGCCTTATTCATGGTTTGCCGCTCTATTTCTATTCTTATCGTATATAATTGGGTTGTGGTTCACACTCAGAACCCATGCGGCCCTCATCTGGGCCACGGAAGTCGAGGAAAAGAAGGCCACAGCCCTCCAGCAGGAGCAATCGGCCTATGAACCCAGACATCTGCTATTCCCTGCTGGAACTGCATATGCCACCGGTGGGCCCCCCAACGCTAAAGGCTCTATTCGCGACACACAGCTCTATAAGAGGATCTTAGGACAGTCCCTGAAGCAGGTTGGCTTGTCCGAAAATGCTAATGAAGATGCTCCACACCAGCCCGAGTCGAGCTCGGCCCGAGATAAAGGCGCGATGCCATATCTTGTTCCCCCACGAACGGAGGGTGAGGCCGGTTATTCTAGCTTCAAAGGCTTGCGAGGATACACTGGAGGAGAGAACGAAGATTTAGTGCGCCAGGTGACGGAAGTCGCAGCGACAGCGGCGGCGGTTGCTGCTCGTGATGTTGCTCGGACACGCAAGCCATCCGTCCAGCAGGGCCCTGCACGTCACAGCAATAAGGCCACAGGTGATCTTTCAAAGTCCGTTCTAGAGGATCAAGAAGACGTCGGGATTGAGCACACACATGCTAGCGGCGGTCATGATGCGCCAAATTGGAGCAAAGCTAAGAGCTCGATCATTCTCCTCGTGGCCACAATACTGTACGCCATCATAGCCGAAATCCTCGTGAACACCGTGGATGTTGTACTCGAGAGCGTTGACATAGACGAGAAATTCCTCGGAATCACCCTCTTCGCGCTGGTCCCCAATACTACGGAATTTCTGGTAAGCCCAATGTATCAATACCTGCAGAACCATGAATCTCACACCTGAGCAGAACGCTATTTCCTTCGCGATGAACGGTAACATTGCGTTGTCGATGGAAATCGGTTCGGCCTACGCATTGCAAGTCTGTCTGCTGCAGATCCCTGCATTGGTCCTCTTCAGTGCACTGTACAGCCGTATCCTCGACCCCTCGGATCTTTTGACGCATTCCTTCAAGTAAGAATTTGCACTCTGGCCGCATAGATGTAGAAAATGGACTGACACGGTGATTACAGCCTTATCTTCCCCCAATGGGATATGGTATCTGTTATACTCTGCGTATTCCTCCTGTCCTACGTGTATGGAGAAGGGAAGAGCAATTATTTCAAGGGCTCGATCCTCGTACTCACCTACCTGGTGGTGGTTATCGGGTTCTACTTGGCCGGCTACAGTAATGTTGACACGATGGGTGTCGATCGCTTCGACACGCTGGCTCTTGGGCCCATCAGGTCCGAGAATTTCCGCACGATTGGTCGGCCGACACGCGGCATGGCTTTCTAATTAATGTGTATGAGGCTTCTGGTTTTGTTTTTGCGCCTTGGTAGGAGGTGATTCCAAGGATAGTACAGACTTGATATACCAGCTATGCCTTAGATTGGCCTACAGTTGTACTGTGGCTTGGTGAATGGTTGGTGAATGCACGGCGTATCTGCTTTTGGCCCTTGGCTATTAGAATATGATTACAAGTGCTAATCGGATACTGGTTTTGTGCAACCCAGTGATACAGTGAAGCAACTTTGCTGGTGCTGAGCACGAATCCTCATCTCTGACGACTGTCTGTTGGCTGTTCACTTCTAGGGCTAGTCGGCGTAGTCGCAAGTCACAATCATCTACAAATTAGATCCTTCAGCTGTAGTATTCATACGATCCATTGTTTTGCCTAATGACGCTGTCCGAGCAGAAGAACATT